TATCACGCTTCCCCGCCACGGTCCGGATTCAATTACCGAGCTTGGCAAACTCGACTCAGCATTTCCGCTATACTGCATTTATTTGATAAATGAGTACCATGCTTGCTTGGGGACTTAAACACTGAGGGTCTCGATTCAGACTCACCACCTGATCTGGATATCTGTTCTAATACCTTAGCGCTCAGTGACCACGTTTACTGGGATGGGCACTGTAGCCTTTATGAGCTGTTGCGCTTTTGAGTTTGAGATGTATATATGTATGTATTCTGTAACACTTACATAATTAAATCGTACAGGATATGTTATTATTTTGAAACCTTGTAGAATAAATTTTGCTAATTAAATATCAAGAAAAGCTAATGATTTAACGTGACTAGAGTGATTTATTTTATAAGTATGTATGATGCTATTACGTGCATTTAAGAAAATGAAATAGGTATACCAAAATGACAGTTTCGTCTTACTGCGTTTTTTTTTTTTTAAGGTGAGTACGTCTTTAAAATTGCTTCCATAAGGAGAAAATTAAAAAGAAAGGGACGATAAAGAAATCGTGGGATACAGTTTGGCGTTACAGCTACATAACTATCATCTCTATCCAAAATTCAATTACATCACTGGATAGCTAGAGAATCAAATAATTTATTACGCTAAGTAAGGACTGTGACTCATTGCACGCGGGAGAGAGAGGAACATGCCGCCATTTTTAAGTAATTTTGCTGCGTATAGAGATTTTTATTTAGTATAACTTCTGACTCTGAGAAGTTACGAAGTTTGTTTTAGTTTGAATCGACAACTCGCATCAAAATATATCAATTGCATATAAAACGCTGATGTAAAATGGTGACAATGAATATAATAAGGTGTAAAAATAAAAATAAAAAAAGTATTACCAAAAATACATACGCCGCAAAAAGACAAGTCCAAATACGGAAATCGTACACCATTGGAATGGGCGCCTGAAGAGCAATCGAATGGCACCAATATAACACCACATGGTTAAGTCATGCAGTGCCAGGAACGTAAGAGAATTAATTCGACTGATGTGGATCACCAAAAGTGCCAGTACATCTGCCTCTGGAACAATTCAAATTATGCAACTGGAGGTTGAAATCGCATCCATATTGACACCCGACTGTGTATGATTGTGTTCGATGGCCGTTTATGAAGACACATTGGGCAGCAGCTAGTGAACGTTTCACTACGACGTTTGTCAATAATTCATTTCGATATAAATGTGATGTGTCTGATCGTCTATGGTATCTATCTCATTGAAGCCACCACCCATTAATAATACATTCCCTGAAGAGCTAGTGACTGTGTGTGTGTGTGACTTTGCGCTACTGCGCTACCTGTAAAAACTCACTAGACTCGGACAAAGTTCTCACACTGTCACGTTCAAACGGATTTGTGTATACACCTAAGCAACACTTGTTGATCGCATTAGATCCGATTAGTGCACGTATAGTATCACGGTGACTGTCATTCATACAGATACGTTGGTTGCGACGTCATTAATGTACTCGTGGATGTAAGAACAATGGTGCAGCAACTCCCTCTTCAATTGGATGATGATCAGGCGTTCAATGTTAACATAAAGAACATGATACATAAATCTACGTATCTAAGCGGCGTGATCTTAAGTCAGTGGTAAAATCTTGGCTGCAATTCTTACTTGTTCAATCATCGTGTAAGCATTACAATGTTACAGTACACTGTAATTCATTTCATGCTGACAAGATAAACACTTGTGGCAGCCAACGCCATCGGTGATAAAGAGATCGAGCTTCTACAGAGTGACAGAAGTGCACTGGAGTGGGAGGTTATGGGGTTGTAAGGGGGGCTGCAGCCTAGTGGTTAAGGTATCGGTTCATGGCAGATATGTCATGAGTTCTAACCCAGTACCACTAAAGACCCACCGTGCAGGCGAGTGATGCACGTTAAATCTATTGAGACCTCAAACGTCCTCCCGTTTTAGCGGTTTGGTAGTTAGGACAGGTGGGTCCCAGCTCAAGTGTCGTCCTCGTCAATTGACCATGATTAAAAATTACGACGTCCGTCGCTAGAATCCCTAGTGTAGCTGAACAGTGCGACGTTAATATTCAATCAATCAATCAATCAATCTAGTTTCGAGAATACTGTTTAATATACAGAAGACTTCTTCATCGAACGTGAATATTCACTCACTCACTTAATCTGCTTGTAAGGCAAAATTAAGCAACCAGCGAGACTTGGATGGATTATTCCATGCCACAGATTGTCCATTGTTTTGTACTGCAAATTGCAACTACATCATCGGTGGTGGTATCCTCAATCATCAAGTCACAAAGCCGGTGGAGTCACCATATATCGTAACATCAATAGCTTCACTGATTGTATTAAAATTAACGTTGACATTTCGGAAATTAGTTTGGGTAATTTGGGAAATTTGTTTAGTAAACGCAGAGGTCAATGGCATCTTCAGATTTATATTCTGGTGTGTGTGCATCCATTCGGGCATAGCGTTAGCAGAAATTAAACTCTTTATGTTACGATTGCTATTAACATATTCCAAAAACATCCCAAAAATTAAACCCTATTACGATCCTGATTTTATTACACAAATTATGATAGTCGTAGATTTTAATATCAATGTCTCACAAGACCGTTCATTGCCCGACTTCGTGCTCAGCGAGTTCAATTTGTCTTGCTTCGAAACTTCTCTAACAAAGTTTGATAATACCTTATTGATTTAACGTTTATCAGAAATCTTGATGTATCATGTATGTCATTTTTGTCGTACTTTTCATATCATAAGACCTATAATTAACATTATTACACAGTAATTATTTGTTTACTTGATTTCTCTTTAATAAACCCGTTGAAAGGAAATAGTTGACATCATTAAAAAAGTGTGTGTGTGTATATATGTACGCACGTAAGAAGATATACTTCTTTGGCGTAACAAGATTAAAATCTTTAGCAGGGAAAGCTGGGCCAAGGACGAAAGGCAGTCATGAGCAGAGTTGAACGATACTAACCTTCAGTCAATCGGACCAGCCAAACCTGAGATAATCGCGATTTAAATAAATTTAAACACCCCACACAGGGACAATAGGACCAATAACATGGGAGGTATCAGACAGTATTTGGAGATTAAGTGAACCGAATGTGACACCTGAGGCCTCATATTGAATGTCTCGGCGGGAAGAACCGTTGGTGAGAAAATAAAGACATCCGCCTGAAGAGCCCTCGAGTTATGGTTATTTTAAAATAATTAAAACATTTAAAATAATTAAATAAAATAGAAGCGGGGAACCCAGAAACTTGAAAATGGGACTGGTTGTGAGCAAACACAAGAGTAATCTATTAGAACTAGTCCGGAGTCTGTAGTTGCAAATGGGGCGGCGCTAGCTCGGGAAAGGAAAACGAAACTAACTCCCCCGGAGAAGAATTACTGTGACATAAATTGTCACGTACATCCGTAGTAGGTGATCCCAAAGTTTCATCCTTCTATCTCTGTAATATCGTTACGTCATCAAAAGATCGAACCCCATGGGAATAACATGGGGATTTTAATTTTAGTGATAACACCCCACCCCCTTCTAAGCCCACTCTCTACCCTCGAATCAAAACAGATAAAACTGCTTAACGAGGAGAACCTATTGTCCGAGTTTCATTAACGAATCTCAAAAATCCTTGGAGCAATGAGGTATTTAAAAAAAATTATAACTGAAATAAATTTAAAATGTTAAATATGGGTAAAGAAATAGGGCCATGGTCCTGAAAAAATATATCTAGAATGCTGATAGGAAGAACAATCGAAACCAGCCGGTGTGGTTGACCAAGGTTGCATAGGATTCCAGTTATTTCTGGAGAAGCCCTGTAGTGGGAGGGGACCAATTCTTCTTATAGCTCGCGCTAATACGAAAATATGGTGGACCTCCAAAAACCAAGTTCCAAGCTCAATTCCTTGTGGGGGGGTGAAATTTTTTCCAGTCCCTATAGGGTTAACATGGGAGCATGATATTATAGTGCTTAAGCCCGCCCCATGCCTACACAATGGGAATTAAGCATATGATTGGATAGGTCTCGACGAGTAGAACAATTGGTTCAAATATCAAGTCCAAGATTCGAACAAGAGCCAAGATATTGTGAATTTAAACAAATTTAAAAAGTTTAAGACAATTAAAACTATGGAAGAAATAGCCCTATGAGCATGAAATTATATTAACTTTAAGAACAGATAGAGAGGGATCGAATGAGCCAGGTCCAAATGGACTGTGAGGCTCGAGTGACGAGATATTGGTCAAAAAGCTGTAAAAGAGGGGAATGCGTTCAAACAGATATGGTTTATAACAATAGTTATTATGATCCCCAAACATCAGTCCCAACGCACCAAAAAAGTAGCATGTTGAAATATTAGACAATGGTGTGCTCGGGCATCCTAAAAATTTACACTCATCCTTTGTCCCTAACGCCCAAAAAGAAGTATAACTTCAAAAATTAATATACGAATACAAAAGGCTCTCATACTTTGCTACAGTCTAATAAATGTGTTTATGTTCATCGCGCAATGCGTTCGTAGTAAATACATCAATAATCATATACTTGCAATTGTTATATAAATTGGCTTATGTTTTACTTGCATGAAACACAATTTAAAGATTAATTTATTATTTTTTTTAATTTCCTGTAAGTATGTTTAGTTTAATAACAAAAAGTGTTCAAACAAATACATCAGAAGACCGCCGTAGGCGAAGGACGATCTTTCTCTACTAGTAGTGACGTCACAAATCAGCGCAAAGCAAAGGTTCACAGACACGGGGGTAGCTCAGTGGTAGAGCTTTCGACTACATATCAAGAGGTCCCCAGTTCAAACCTGGGTGCCCCCTTCTTCAGAGAAGTGAGGAGAAATATTTTTTTGAGAAATTCGAAGGCGGGAATGATCTGTCCCATTCTGCATATTTCTAATCAAGGCGTTTTCGTTCCTACGGAACGCAGAGCAAAGGTTACTGACGCGAGTTTATAGCTCAGTGGTAGAGCATTCGACTGCAGATCGAGAGGTTTCCGGTTGAAGCCCGGGTGTCCATCTTCCTCAGGGAAATGAAAAGAAATATTTTTTTGAGAATTTTTTTTCCTCACTGTCTAAAAACAAAAGAGTTTATTCAGGTAATTGGTATTTATTGGCTTAGACATGTCACATCTTGAACATGAAGACGTTACAAGCAGAAGGAACTTCCTGGCTGGTTTTTAAACCAAGACCGTACTTAAGATTTTTTTTATTTTTGAAATATCTGCTTTTGTCTGGCAAAAATTAAACCAAAATATGTAAAAAATTCAAATACATTTTCCAAAATATATTCAGAAGTATAATTCTTTCAAATAAAAATTATTGCAAAAATTCTAGTTAAATGAATAACAATTTTTTTTGTACAGTAAAGCTTTACCTTTTAAGTTATGTTATAAATTTATATACAAGAATCTTTATCTTTTAAAAAACAAAACAAAAACAGTCTAGTTTCTTAAGTAGGAACTAAGGTTGAGTTATGAGGAAGACACTTTAAGTCCTAAGCCATTCCCTCAACACATTACGAGAGAACTTTGATATTATTGTCCGTTTACAGTGACTTCCTTACAATACATTATCTAGTGCATGGTCTTCCTATTGCATAAATGCCAAAGCACCGCATCCACAACTTATCTAATTGAAGTGTCAAGATCATTTTGTTCATTGAGATATAACAATGTAAAAAAGTTTGACGAATAACAAAAAACATCACACCTCACATAAATTTTTAAATACAATATTTTTCCGTGAAAACAAGTCCAGTCATTAAAAAATATTATTATCTTGTCTTTTAAGCAAAAATTAATTTTTTTTAAACCTAAGCAAAAACTTGGTGTACACATTTTATTTTTCTAGAAAAAGGCTTAAAATGCATTTAATGTACATAGATAACTGGCAAAAGGAAAAAAAATATAGAAGGCATATACTTCATTTTTTTAAAAATATTTGTTTAAAGTAAAAGAAATTAAAATATTCCCTGAAGAAAAATACACTTAAATGACTTTCAATAACGAAATTAGATAGTTTTTATTTCAAGAAATAAATGAAATCACTGAAGTGAGAAAACTTTATCTTTCCCTTATCAAAATTGCTAATTGAGCACTTTCTTTAAATTTATTCAAAATATTTTCTTTTTTTAAATCAACCTTTTTATTAAAGAAAAATAAAATCAAATGTACAGTTAATGAAAATTTTATTCTAATAAATATAAATATGTTTTTAAATATTGAATTTCAAAATAATAAAATTTCCTCTTTAAACTACTTTTTTTACTACTTTTATATTTTTAGGGTATTATATTAGAGAATTCATAAATGCATGGACCACTTTAAAATTATGTACTTATTTTTATTGCATAATTAGATACGAATATGCTGATTCATAATTTTTTAAAAAGCCTGTATTATTTTATAGTATTCGCAACATTGTTTTTGTTATAATACAGCAGTGTATTGAAAATAAAAAGAAAAAATATTTTTCCTGTAATATACCTAAAACTGTATTTAGCGCACAGAATGAAATATTCTATAAAATGGTAAAGAATGTGATATAAGAAATCTGAAATAACGGTAATTGAAACACAAATAAAAGAATGAGAACGCAAAATTATGAAATGCTGAAAGATTTATCTTTTCAAAAAGATTATGAATTTTATTTCATAAGAAGAAAATAATGCGTAAGAAAATCTAAATATGTCAATATAAGTAAAGAAATAATTATTAGCTAAGTTGAATGAAAAATTATTTGAAATTGTTTTTTAAAAATTCTTAAAATAACTGACTATTGGGTATTTTCAGATACATAAATGACGTCATGATTGAAACATGTTAATAAAACAAAGCTTTTAGAATCTGTAGTCATTCAGTGATTAAGGTCCTTACACTTTTACGTTCACATTCATTTCAAAGATATGAGGGAAATATACTAGTTTAAGATTTGTTTCTCATTTGACCATGTACAAGTTCGGTTCAAAAAGTATTTTACACTTGGATGGGAAAAAAAATACCTTAGTTATTTTGCGAGATTGAGATTATAATCAAATTGAAAGTAGATAGACCCCTTGCACTTTTACACACTTTTCTCAGTTTTCCTTCTACAACCAAAAACACTTTTTAATGTTACTGATCTCAACTGTACTGATCTCAATTTTTTCAACAGTCTCTCGTATGGTTAAATAACCATTTTCTATTAGCAGACGTTCTATTTTTCAAAAACAGCATTTAGAGAGGTTTATGAACTCCAAGAATGCTAGTTACTCTCTATCGATACCTTTTTGAATCAGTCAAAACCCTCCTGAATCTTACGAATGGTTGATTTTAAAAAAAGTTTTATGCAGTACCTCACCTCAAGTCGTCCAGTTACCTTTAGAGAAATGAAAATCTTACGATCACCTATAACAGTTACTCGACTGTGTCCTGAAAACGACTGGTACACTGGAATGCGGGTAGGCGTATTAAGCTGTCACCTGTCGCTATGCATAGTGGCGCCGCATTATAATCTCTAATTTGCGTGGGAAAATTCGAGGTCGAATATTTTTTAAACAGAACTTGCATAAAAATTATGAGGCCCATAACCAATACATCACATGTTTCTAAGGTAATATTAGTTCTTATTTGAAAAAGGGTTGTTATATTAAATATTGATCGATTTTAATTCGAATACTCATTGTGTTGTGTTGGATTGATGCAGAGTGAAGTTATATTGCTAAGTATTCCTAGTCCTTGGAGTACTGCAGCGTTTCTCAATCAGTGGGGTGCGCTTCCCTTGAGGGAATAATATCTCTACGAGGGGGAGCGATAACATATTGAAAAGTCGAAACAAAATGTTATTTAAAAATTAGTAATATACTGAACTTTAATAAACAAGATACTTTCTGATATAATAAAATATAAAATACACATTTGCACTGATATAATACACTTATAAATGTATCAGTACTGCACAATGTATATTTTATTATTAATTTAACAATGCTAAGTTAAGAACAAGTTTGATAATTATCAGTGTTCCCATGGGCATGTATTAACATTTATCTTGATAATTTTTTTATGGTTTATAATTAATTCCTTAACTGCCGATTAAAAGTTACGCAATTCGCTCCCCAATGCCACCGTTTACCACGTAGACGAGCGTATTTTGCTGTTTTTTTAGGGGGAGAGAGAGGAGAAAAGAAAGAAATAAAACAATCCTCTGAAATAAGTAAACCCTTCGCAAACATTCACAAGGTCCTTTCATTGCATTCTAAACCCTTTGGAATAATTTTATGGATAGCACTGCATCGAAAAGATAGTACTTCAGAAAGACGTATATATACGTCCAGAAAATTAATGCTTTGGCTGAGCGAGACGCTTATATAAATCGGTGGCACATTAGAGGTTAAAGTCGTGTTGTAGCTTTAGTGTCGAACTATAGTATTATTGATTTGAATACATTGTTATTGTACGGAGGGAAGGGGGGTGATAAAAATGATGATTGAATACTGGGTCGCGTATATTGAAAGATTTCGAAGCACTGCAGTGCAGTTTAAAATAGAGATTTTGTACTAAAAATTTTAAAATGCTTTTAATTTATAGATAATTCATTGACTTTAAGTTAAACATATACAATCCAAGCCTAATGAGTAAAATATTTAAGTAAAAATAAAATTAAAAAATGGTTTTACATAATTTTCCTTAAAAAAATTAAGTTAAATTGTGTAATAAGCATATATATTGAATATTTTTATTTTGTTATAGTTAATTATAATATTTTTATTGTTTTGAATAATTTAAAAGAAAAAAACAATTGCAGAATAATGCCATAGAATTGAAGAAATAAGTTCTGTTTGCCGATATTTGACTTTTGGAATCGTCAAAGGAAATTTTTGCAATAGAATTAGAGTTAAGAGCAATTTCATGTTTTAGTCTCAAATCTTCTGCGTCTAGGTAACACTTTTCAATTTATTTTCTCCTTTCCAATTAATCTGAAATAACTTTTAATTTAACTTTGAAATTTCTGGATAGAAAGGGAGTACATACCATGGGACAGGTAACAAATGAAGTGTTAATGTCTCAGATTTTTTCGTGCATCAAATTTTTTGTAAAAAAAGGTAATTTTGGTTTATGTTTAATGGGCTGCGGTTTCGTGTTTTTACCAATAATGAAGACCTAATACAATCCCCGGAAGCTGACATCTCTTTTTATTGTGGCACCGTATAGGCAGATACCAGTCTCAAAAGGTAATTTTGATGCCAAGTTTAATCCCTAGAGGGAGAAACCAGAGCTCTTACGATGCGAACTTCTACTAGGACTTAATTTTGCTTAGAGCACCCAAGCCAACTATACGCTCTAGGGATATTTTACATGCCATATAATCATACATACGGCTGCTGTCGATTTTCTGCATCATAAAAATCCACTGACTTCAGCCGGGAACCGCACCCGCAACCTTGGGTGCAGAAGGCCAGTGACAAATCAAAAACGCCACCAAGCCGGCGAAAGAAAAATAGAAAAGGGAAACTAAAATTTAAAAAAAAAAAATAGTTGGGATTGATTCTCTTTTGTAATTTATACAGCTTTTTTTTTTAATTCACACAAAAAAGATTTTATCTTAGCATTGCACTCACTATATTTGAATCATGATTGCATTTTAAACTGCTTTTCTGTCAAAATTATCTTATTTTCTATTAAAAGTGTATGCTGTCGAACATATACTTAAAGCCATTAAAATTGGAAATGGTTCAGTTAGCAGGAATTTTTGAAGTAACTGTAAGAAATTTCAAAAATATTAATATACAAAGTTTCACGTTAACATTGTTATATTAAATTTTTAAGCAGTGCTATCATATGTATATATAAGCAGTGTTATATATATGTATATATATGTAGTAATATAAAATAAAAGTAAAGAATTACTAGAACCCACAAAACATACATATTATATATATATATATATATATATATATATATATATATATATATATATATATATTTGTAATATGCCAACGTGTTTATTTTTTTTCTTATAAAAAACACGAAAGGAAT